TTGTTTTGACAAGTTTTTTGAAAAAAACCCTCAATGGGTTCTTGTCATTGAGGAAGATGACTCGTTTTATTATAATTGCAACGCATAGTTGGAACTTTGCGTTTATCATGAGATGCAGTGTTGATTCTTGCGTTTTGAAATTGAAAACGTTGGTCTTGACTTCTGCGTTTGATATTGAAAACGCAGGTCTTGACTTCTGCGTTTGAGATTAAAAACACAAGTCTTTAACTCTGTATTTGAGATTAAAAACACAAATCTTGAACTCTGCGTTTGAGATTAAAAACGCAAGTCTTGAACTCTGCATTTGAGATTAAAAATGCAAGTCTTGAACTCTGCTTTTGAGATTAAAAACGCAAGTCTTGAACTTTGCGTTTGAGATTAAAAACGCAAGTCTTGACCTTATGTTATAATCTAGTTTCTCTCATTGGCAACTCCTTTTACTAATCCATGTTTCTTGTTTCACGGTGCTTTTCTCCAATGTACCACTTTTGCCAGAGCAGTATTTCAGTTGTACTGATGATCCAAACGTGGGGAAAGTTTTTGGTCTTCATAGAGTAATTCCAATGTGCACTTTCCCTGGCTTAGAGCGGGCACAGTTAATCATGTTTGCCGGATGTTCCACTCTTAGGGCTCTGATCACTGATTTGGACCTAGAAACACCCATGGGTCATGATCAATTTGTCAAACCGGTGTTTTTGTTTGGGGACCATATCACAGTGGATGAAAAAGTTGGACATGTAGAAGATTCTCATTTTCTACAAAGAATCAACGATCATCTCTTATTCCTCCCAAGCATGAAGAGAATGTATCCGCTTTCTTATTTCCTAAGCGTCGATTGCCGTAGGGGCTTAGCCTTCGATCTTGTTAAAGAGAGGGAGAATATATTACTTGGATCTGGTCGACAATCTCATGTACAAATTGACGGGCAACTCAAAGGTCTGAGGCCTGGCAGATTTGAGAAAAAAGATCTTGCTCAGGAAGTGTCTCTTCCAGCGAACATCTTCATATGCCAGTTTATTGCTGCTCGGGGCGAATTTTCTGCGCAAGCCTTTCGTTCTCCTGGCTGGTTGTTCTCTGGAGAAGATGGCTGGTGGACCCGGATGGTGGATTTTGTTCTTGAGGAACTCAAGGAGCCGCTTGCTTAGTCTGGCCTTACAACACCGGTGCTGGCCACAAGGCGTGGGATCACGCAGAACTATCCCACCTTCTTCTCTATGCTAGAGCGTTATAATACCGATAGTTGCACTTTCTTTACACCTGTTGGGGAGTTGAGATTTGCTCTCCATGAAATGCATGCAGTATCAGGGCTATCCCTTGGGCAGATGCCCTATGAGGAATTCATTCCAACAACTAAGGAGCTTTCTATTTTGAGGGCGGCTCATCCAGGGATATACACCACTTTTTCGGAGTTGATGTGCCATTTTCACATATGTGCTTAGGTTGTTGGGATGCGTGGAGGTGGCATCATGCACACTGCATGGGCAGATTATCTCTTCTAGAATTTAGGTCAGAAGGACTTGATGGTGACCCGTCTTGCTGTAAGCTCTTCTAAGAGCATTAAAGTCTGCATCAAGGCTCCTAATGCTACTTATAAGAATAAGCAACTAGAAGATGGATTTGAAGCTGGCAGTGAATTTGAGAGCTTTCACTATCAAGCTGCAACCCCATCTCCGATGCGGCCCTCCTTGCCGGCTTCCTGATGATATGGCTGAAGCGGTGTGTCGTGCCGTCGAAGCCAGTTGAGTCGATCTTGGCTGAAGTAGTATACCCAGCTGTTCTCCTGGCTCATGGAAGACCTTTAAGTCTTCTTTCTGCTATGACAGGTTGTTTGCAAAGGGGCTTACGAGATCTGATTTCTGAATTCCTCGATACCAAGGAGATGAACGTTGCTGGGAGGAAAGTTTGGAAGACTCCCCAACCCCACACACCAGTGTCCTATACTTATTTAGTGGCTTGGTTCGTGTTACATTGTCCTTCGTTAATGACGGGGACCATACAAGATAGTGAGACCTCTGTTCCTTTTGTGCAGAGGCTTGAGTCAGCCACATGGACGACTGCGTACATAGTCCGGGCTAGACAACTCTTGTCTTTGGAGAACAATTATGATCTTTTTTGTTGTCGTCCTTGTTTTGATGGGGCTGAAGAAGAAGGCACGAAGTTTGGAGATGTGGTCTTCGAAGGCTCTTCACTCTTAAATACATGGACTTTTCAATGGCTTCTCGCTATCAGGGTAGGTTACCTAGTTTTCCGACTGGGCGAGAGATGTATAATTGAACCATATGTTCCTTCGCGTTTTGCTCAACAATTTGGGTACGACCAACTTTATGTTGGTAACCCTAATCCGCGACTAGCTCACATTAGGAACTTATATGAAGGGGCTCGTGCTTGGTTTTTCTTTTATGCCAGAGGAACTCATGCACAATTCACTCTGCCCAGCTCGCCGCCTAGCTGCTCAACCGTTGCGGACTTCCGCGATTGGTTTGATGAGGCTTCTCGAATCCCAGAATATGATGTATACACTTCATGCATAAATAAGATTCGGGAACTCTATAAATCGAGAAGTGGTTCTACCAGGACTAAACTACCAGGGATAGAGAATTATCTATCCTGTGAACGAGAAGTGGTCGGAATTGAAGAGATCCCAAAGGAGTTACCGGCTGCTGAGCCTTCTGAAGAAGAGGCCACTAAAGAAATTCTTGAGGGAGCACCCCCTCCTGAGCCCCGCTCCTTAAGATCATCAGGGAAGAAGGCCCTTACTACTGAGTAGGAAGGAGAATATGATAGGAGAATTCACAAACGGAAGCCCGCTGCGGCCAAGAACTCTAAGAGGGCCAAGTTAATGGGAGACGCAATGAAGTCTGCACCTATCGTGTGCTCGGCTGATAGAGAGGACGAAACGCTTCGATCAATTCCTTCCATTCCTGAGGATGTGGGAGCCGAAGAGACGTTGCCCATTAGGGGTTCAGGGTCTGCTCCTCCTCTTCCAGTCCATAATCAGGGTTCGTATGAAGACCTGCCTTCTGAGGCTGTTCCTCAATCTACTCATAATGAGTATACGGGTTTGATCTATCCGATTGCTCCTCCTCCTCGTTCGAGAGCTTTGAGAGAGTACATTAGACAGCTAGAAATGAAAATGCAGTTTACAATTGATATTGTTAGCTTAGGGCGGGTTCCCTTTGAGCGTTTCAGACCCCTCCTGACTCAAAGCTTAATGGACATCAGAAGTCATGGAAATGCGTTATGGACTACAAACTGCGCAGAACGTATCATCATTTTGGAAATGGAATTAGAGATGCTTTCGATCCTTCAGCGCGATGATTTGGTCGAAGAAGTGGACCAGGCTCTTTCTGCGGCCATAGCTTCGAGAGCACAACGCCATGAAGCTCTTCAGAAGAGTTTGTCTGAGAAAGAATCTCGTATTGCCAGCCTGCGTGAGGAGCACCTTCAAATACAAATAAACATGTGCAGCCTCGCTATGGGTATTCGGGATGCCGTAGCAGAACTCGCTCGTATGGGTATTGGGCTATCTCAGAGGAATGCCCAGCTGGCTGAAGATATGGAAGTCATAAAAGGATTAGTTGCTCACTGTGATGGGCTTCTCAAAGACTACCGCAATGAGATCGTCGCTGCCGATAAGATTCGACGAGAGATTGCAGAAGCAGCACCTGATGAAGAAGAACTCAAGAGAAAGATAACTGAAGAAATTAAAAAGACTCGTGAGGAGAACATATCAGCGTTGAAGTCCAAGCTCAAGTCTTTTAGGCTGATGAGCCCTGATGCTTAAGATTTGAATTGTTTTTAGCTGGGGAATAATTTTGTATCATTTTCATTTCAATTATGGTCACTTTAATTTGTATCAAGTTATCAATATTGAATGAAAATGATATCATTTTGTCTTTCATCGTCTTTCTTGTTGAATTGCAAGTGCTACAGGTGTGATGTTACCTTAGTGTAAATTTGAAATTCTCTTCATTACTACTTAGAATAATTCTAGAAAATTTCAATCGTCAGTGGTATAGTGTTAACATGATGACATTCAAAGCAGGCAAACTAAACATTTACTCCTAAAACAAATTCTGAATAAGCAACCCCCAACCGGACTTGGCCGGAGATTGAGAGAAAAGGGGGCTTCATTGCCTACGGAAAGTATTTCTTAAGAAACTTTCTGTTAATTGGCATCATTAGCCTGTCGCCTTTTTGATCGACAAGGTGATAAGCTCCGTTCGAATAGACTGATTCTATTACGAAGGTCCCTTCTCATTTGGGGTTAAACTTCCTTTTGGTCTTGTACATATATATATTATAATATAGTATGTGATATTGCATATATATAATTACAAATTACAGTATTCAAAAATTTTAGAGATCCCAAAACCCAAAAAATTTTTTTATGGATTTTAAATTCTATGGTGAAATTCATATCCATAAATTTTGGGATTTGAAACAAACACCCACTTAGAAAACTGAAAATGTAAAGACATGCTTGAATTTATAGAACAAAAGGTATAACACCCCCGAAAAAAAAAATTGGGGCAAGAGGCGAGCTTCAGAAATAGATTAGCATCCATGTACCGAAAGATTAACAGGAAAAAAACGTTAACGGGAAAAAACAGAACAAAAAACAAAAAACTAACAAGCGCGAGGCCCAGATCTAGGGAAACTAACATGTCGCCGGCCGCGCCGCTGCCGCGCGCCGCTCCCAATCTCGTTCGATGGTGCTCTCCCTCGTCGCCGATCCGTCATGAACCCTCCTACAAGCGACTTCATCCCGCTAATGTCGCCGGCGACAGCAACTCTGCGACTCATCGCCGCAAGTGTGTCGCGGTGGGTAAAGACTGGCGCGAGCAGGGAAGGTGTTCGCTGGTTCCTCGAGCTCAACGATCGGTCGCTTGCTTGCGAACTGCAGGTCTGTCGACGCCGGGGTTTTCCCGCTGTGGGGCTTGACGGGTAGGGGACTGCGTGCTTGTCGCGAGGGGGAGATCAAAAGCCGCGAGGGAGGGGCACGAAGCAGCGGTCGGAGATGAGGGTCGAGAAGGTTATTGAGGTGGGACCCAGTGATCCTGGGAAGTATCCGATACCTAAAGCGAGGCTAACCCTAGAATTTCTTAGGGATTTTGTTCATCTTCGTGCACGCACAAACACGGTATAAAGTTCTTTTCCTTTTTTCATAGAATCATGAGCTTGCATTGTTTCATTGTGGAAACTTTTTCTTATCCTACTATAAAAGCCTATCAATCTAATTTGATAGGAAAATTAGACTGCAGTAAAAAAAAGGGGGAAATCTATCAGATTGGAACTTCCGTAACTTACATATGGATCCGTTTGGATACCATGGTGTTTTACTTGTTTCCACGTTTCCACAGTGTTTTTGCCAAAAACAAAATACTATCCGTTTGGAAATCATGGTCTTTTTTGAGCTAAATTATCCTCAATCCAAAATTACAATACTTATTTCAAAACACCTAAAAGTTGTTTTAAGTTTAGTGTTTTGGTTTTGAGTTTGAGAAATTGTTAATATAATATCTAACATAATATATTAAATGTAATTAACATAGAGTTATTATCAACATGCTTATTATACTATACTATACTATATTATAATTAATCTAATATATTAGTAATATTTATTAAATAATATAAAAATATAATAAATAAAATATCTTATATAACTATATAATAACATATTAAATACTAGTATTTAATATGTTAACAACGTATTATATAATAATATATAATAAATAATATAATTAGCAAATGTTAATGTAAACATAATATATTCATAATATAATAATATTTATTTATATCATAAATTATAATATATTATTAAATTACTATTAATAAACTCTAACTTATTAAAGAACATAATATATTGCATAATATTAAATTATTTATAATATCTTAATTTATTAATAACATACTAGTAATAACATAATATTAACGTTATTAATAATATTATATTATATGAATAATAGTATAATATTATATTAATAATAAAATAACATTATTATAAAAATATTAATATAAATATATAACAATAACAAATTGATATACCAAAATAATTAAATATATAATTATTTAAAAATAATATGTAATAATTATAATATAATATAACTCATTAAGTACAATATAATATTATAATACATTTTACAATTTTATATTGCATTATATTTAATACTTCTAATACTATAATAATGTAAACTAAATATTATAACATTTTATTGACAATATATTTTATTATAATTAATATATAATATATTAATAATATGTTTAATACTAATGTTGTAATGGGTCAAACTAGTGTTGACGAAAAATACTTAACATGATGTTTTGAAAACGTTTTAAGGGAAAAACACAACACCGTAGGGTTTTTTTACAAAAACACAACAAAAAAACACCATGGTACCCAAACGAAGTTTGACAAGCATGTTTGTTTTGAATTATGGTTAAGATTTCACCTGTTTGGGTTTATTAATTTTAGATCTACTTTTAAGTTGAAATAGGTACGTTAGATGTGGGTGAGCCATTAATAACGTGGTTTTCACTATAACCTGACCCAAGGAAACACATTAATCGGCGAGCCTTGAATCTGACGAGTTCGGATGGAGCACTCAAACTTAGATGGCGCACACAAGGCCTGGGGAATTGGTCTTGGATGCTTCAATTTGGTTATGTTTCTACAGGTCATGTTAGTTATGAACGCTTCCCTTTGAAGCGTCTGTTTGGTTTTATTGACAAGTATCATGTTTGCATGATGTATTTTCACCTGGCTTTGTATCTGCATGTATACACAAATAATGCAATATATGCATGTATCTATATGAATGTGTGATAGAGAACTCCACATTGAATGAACTATGTTTGTTCCATATTCATATGCTTGCTGTATTGTATTTTCGGACATGTACGTTTCCTTAACATGTACTCCCTAATTTAGATTGGAAATGTTAATTGTTGATCTGTTTTCAATCTTTAATTCTTTTGATGTTTAGCTGCTACTATCTCTTATGGGTCTTCCAGCTGAAAGAGCAAAACCATCTGATAAAGGGCTGACTGTACATATGAAAACACAGTCTATGAGCCAAACATGGTCAGTACGAATCAAATGCAGCTGATACTAGCTTGTAGAAGCCTTATTTGGCTGGTTCTTCTGTACCAGATGAAACTGAGATTGTATAGATATTGTGGATTCTTTCCCCTGAAACCTGAACGGTATGTATGAAGCTAATAAATTTCTAGCAATGCCTCATTTCTTGATTGGATCTGAGTAGGTAATTGTGGTTATCTTGAAAGGTAAATATCTTTGTTAGGTTTACCATGAGACTAAATATTCGCATAAGGTGTAATGGGATGTCAGGACCTAATTTGTTTCGTATATTTTAACAGTTTGCTGTAAGCCTGTCAAAGTGGTTGGAACTTTTTATTGTCCCTTTGAACTCAGTAAAACATGGCTTTTAAGGAACATACAACAGAGTTTACATTTCTCGGGATGACCTCTAGTCTTCCTTTATTCAATTCTTTTCTCTGTCCTCTTTTTTCTGACTGATACTCAATGATAATAGAAGTTTATTCTCCTCATATTTATTCCATCAATTCAAAAGTTCTTAATCTGGAAATAATTACCTCAATTTATAGTTAAACTGATGTAGATATGGTTGGTTCAGATTCATGCTTATTCCAATGCTTGTATGCCCTTAGCAATGAGTGTCGTTGTATATCAGCTAATCTTTTCTTTCACTATTTTATTTAACTTGGTTTTAAGCTAATATAGTTCTGATAGGGATGGAGAGATGGTAAAGGGGTTACCTTAATTTTCGTTCTCGCGGATAAATGATGATATTTATTTATTTTTGTTTCATTTCCATGTCCCACTTTAAAGTCTGTGATTCATGTTATGCATATTATATCTCGAATTTATAAAAGCTACGTTCTCTCAATTTTGATGCTTCAAAGCATTTAGTATACTACCCATTGCCGAATTAGGTCACCAGATTTATCAATTTTGGTTGGAATAACATCTAAGTCATAGAGAAGACATGGCTCTGAAAACTGATCTTTTTTATGAGCAATTAAGTGTCAGTGTCGAGTGATGGGTTAATATGTAACCCAATTTGGAGATTTTCTGCTTGCTAGTTTATGCGTGTTTACCCCAATTGGTTGTTGAGAACTTACCATAAAATATCTTAATTTAATACTTCTCTTTGTCTACTCAAATATATAAGCTGCCAAGTATGAGGTTGCATATTTATAGTGGTTCCCATCGGTTTTGAGATTTAGTACTCCTGTATAGCTTTCTATCAGTCAGTTTTTAAGGCATTGTTTGTCTTGCAATTCAGATATCTGCAGTTGCTCGAATCAGGGATGAGCTGGCTTATGGAACTCACACGTTTTTTAGGGAAAACGGATTCCGTTATGTGCACACTCCGATCATCACCACGAGTGATTGTGAAGGAGCTGGGGAAATGTTCCAAGTAACCACACTTTTCAGTGATGCAGAGAAGATGGAGAAAGAGTTACAAGAGAATCCACCACCATCAGAATCTGAAATTGAGGCTGCAAAGGAAGTTGTTGAGGATAAAGGAAACACAATTAAGGATTTAAAAGCTGCAAAAGCAAGCAAGGAACTTATCAAGGCTTCTGTTTCTGAGCTGACAAAGGCCAAGGAAACATTGTTAAAACTGGAAGAGAGATTCAATTTGAAAGGGGGAATCCCTCAGAAGGAGGGGAAGATTGATTATTCTCATGATTTTTTTGGGCGTCAAGCTTTTTTGACTGTGTCTGGCCAACTTCAGGTTGAGACTTATGCGTGTGCCTTAGGTAACGTGTACACATTTGGACCAACATTCAGAGCTGAACATTCCCACACATCTCGGCATTTAGCTGAATTTTGGATGGTGGAGCCCGAGATTGCATTTGCGAACTTGGAGGTATATATTTACTCTGCTGTTTTAGGTCCTATCTGTTTTTTATTTTTTTATTTTTTATTTTTATTTTTTAAATTTTGAACACCTTCTGCTATGGAACTGCAATGAAAATTGACCAACTTAACTAACCATTTCTTCTTTTGCATAGTTAGTACTTTGTGTCAATCACTGGAAATAAAACTATATTATCCCAATTCTGAGTTTAAACTTTTGGATTGTAGTTCAATAATTCCAGCTTTTTTTGAAAGTTTTTGGAATTTCTTGGAATGCAGGATGATATGAATTATGCAGAGAAGTACGTAAGATTTCTCTGCAAGTGGTTACTTGAACATTGCCTTGAAGACATGGAATTCATGGTGAAGAATTATGATAAGACAGCCATTGACCGTCTAAAGCTTGTATCATCAAGTCCATTTGAGAGGATTTCCTACACAAAAGCTGTTAACCTATTACGGGGTGTTACTGATAAGCAGTTTGAAAATAAGGTTGAGTGGGGAATAGATTTAGCGTCTGAGCATGAAAGGTATGATCCTAAAATCTTCGTTTTTCTAATACTTTTCTTCCGCATAATCCTGTGGCATTTTGTTTTGATAAAGGTACTTGACAGAGGTGATTTTCAAAAAGCCTGTCATTGTGTACAACTACCCGAAAGGAATAAAAGCATTTTATATGAGGCTCAATGATGACAACCGGACAGTTGCAGCAATGGATGTTCTCGTACCTAAGGTATAATTATTAATCCTGTTGTTTTTCACTGACTTAACATGTTTTGTGAAATCTCATCTGTTTCTTTACTGATATACAATTAGTTATCTGCAAATAATATGACTTAGGTTATTATTTGGTGAGTCTATATCAGCTTCATGATCTTCCATCATGGAGTTTCTCTAATTGCATAGATCTTTCCTGTGTGTATGTAGGTTGGTGAACTGATTGGAGGAAGCCAAAGGGAGGAGCGGCTAGATGTTATTCTAGAAAGGTACAAATGTTTTGCCTTATACATTTTTAGGCCGTGCAGGTCCTATACATTTTTCTTCACCATATATATATTGATGGAACTGTCAATTCAGATTATTGTGGTGTTTCATCGAATACTTATAGCTGAAACTGCTTTAGAGCACATTGACATAATGACTGCTTTGGGTGCAAGCTTGTGTGGAACAATGACATTCTTACGGTGTTGAATAGAGATAAATAGCCAACACAGAGATCCTCTGAAGAGAACACTTCCAGTGTGGATTCTGATGAAAATTTTATTTCCTGAAAAAAAAACGTCTTGCAAATGAGAGAAGGTTGGGACACACTCCTTTTCTTGCTAATCAAGACTGATATTTCATAATTGTAATACCTATTAATTATCACACTTTTGTTCTTGCAAATCATGTTTGGGAATGTCTGTTGTATTGCAGTTTTTTATTGTGAAACGTCTACCTAAAATGGTATCAGTCATTTTTTTTAAATTCTTGATATGGATATTTTGCGTCATCCCCAAGTATACATTTCAAAAAGTGTTATTGACATTAGTAATGATACTAGAAATATGATATTACATGGTTAGCTGCACCATCTTGCAAATTGTTAGAATGGTCATTTTGACTCATCGTATATACAAAGCTCCTCTCGTAGTTGTAATTGTTCAGAAGGTTTTTTTGCTTCCCCTTTTCTACTAGCCATTGTAACACTGGATAATGGCAATAATTGATAATTTTCTGTCTCCTAAATCTACTTATCGTTTGGTCTATCTATCGTTCATTAACCTTCAGATTGTGCATCTTTCGAATAAATGCATAGCTAACTCCAAAGTTTCCCTACTTTTTGTGTTGAACAAAACATGATTTGGCTTGCACATACTTAAGTTAGCTTGTTATGTATATTTCGCTCAAGGGCATCCTCTTACAGGATAGCTTAGCCGTATTATAGGCATACTTACATATTCAATTTATTTTGTTACTTTCCTGTATGATTTATCTTCAGAAAGGAAAAGACAAAAGAAGGTAATGGATCTCTCATATAAGAATCAGATCATGTAGCCGACCCCAAAATTTGGAATAATCCATAGTATATCTGCATAGAAGAATACGCTCCAAAATTTGTAGGGAAGTCATAGTCAATACCCAAGTATTTGTACTATCCGGGTTTTATACAATTTGATGACTTTGTGTTGTTATTATCTACAGCTGTTTAATCTAGTCTTTGAATTCTTTGACGTTTATTGTTATCTCTTTGCCTTGTAGGATAAAAGAAGCAGGGTTGCCACTTGAGCCATATGAGTGGTACCTTGATCTTCGTCGTTTTGGGACAGTCAAGCACAGTGGGTTTGGTTTGGGATTCGAGCGAATGATTCTATTTGCCACTGGCCTTGACAACATCAGAGACGTTATTCCTTTCCCCAGATATCCAGGGAGAGCTGACCTTTAGAAATTCTCTCAATTTTCCTTTGGTAGCAAGCTCTAGGTTACATTTTATACATTCATTATGGTTCAGCATTTCAAGCTTATTCTAGGTTAAGGGGATGTAATTGTTAAAAATGAGCTGCAAATTTTCTTTTCATGTTTAAATTTTTTTAAAACAGAGGTGGAATTGTGGTATCATAATGGAGAGTAAAGTGTAGGAGGGAAATGATCAATGGTATGACTCGAAGAATTGCGGTTACAAATGATACCATTTGTGATTTGCTGTGAGTCTGACTGTTTTTTTTTAATACTTGTTTTCCTTTTCTTTTTTGTGGTTGTGTGGATGAAATGCCCATCTAAAGTTCACCTGGTTTAAGGTTGAATTCATCTGATATTCATCATTTTACATTTGCATACGCATAGTTTGCAATGATTTGTTGTGATATATATTTTTATTTCTGATAGTTGCTACTTTGGTCAAAACCAGTTCGTGGAATTTTATGTGTCCACATCAACTTGTGCTAGTTTTTTCACGTAAAACAAAGTATAAATACATGAAGGGGGTGTTTGTTTAGTTGTATAAATTGTAAGTATGAAAGTCACTTATTTTTGAGACTTCACTAGTTTGTTTTATTGAAAATGATAGTGAAAGTGAGATCCAAAAAATAGTCCACATCAGNCATCCACATCATTTTTTTTTTTTTTTTTTTTTTTTTTTTGCAATTTCCACATCCCAAAAAAGTGCAAAAGTGAGCCTTGAAAGTGAAAAGTGAGGACCACATTATTATATATATTAAAAATATTATAATAATTAATATATTAGATTTGTTTTATCTTCAACGATATCTCATGTCCTCTAATTTTTCTCTCACGCCTTATTTCTCCTCGTTGTATTTTTTCCTTTTTATTTTTTAACTCCATAGAACTAATCCTACTGTTTTTTCTCGTGTTTTGAATAATATTCTTATCATTTTTTGTTGTAGCAGTAGTTTGAAATATGTCAATGATATTTGTTTGGGAAAAATGCTTCCAGCCCCCAAAACTAATGAAAACAAGCTTCCCCCTCCCAAGACTTTTTCAACGCTCTCAAAACCCCCAAATTCGTAACAAATATGCACTGAGCCCCCAAAACACAAAGACCAAGAGTATTAAAATTTGAAGACCATAATACCCTTTCTCTCTCTTTTTCTTTCTTTATCTGTGATGATTTGAAAGGGTTCCTCCGTCCCTTTCCCCGATGGCGGCCGTCATCATGTCCCTCAGCAGGGTCCCCACCTCCGCGATGAGATTGCCCCCTCTGCCGTCAACCTCGCCGTCACGAGCATCGCCCCGCGCACCGGTATCCTCCCAGGATCCACATCAGCCTCCCCAACCTGGGCCCCACCATAGTAAAGCTGGAGAGAACGAAGCATAGTTAGGGTTTTTGATGAGGAGGTCGAGGGTCATGTTGAGCTCCACGCGGATGGCCGGGAACGTGACACGTGGAGAGACGCCGGTGACGGCGAGGATGAGCAGGAGGAGGTGATGAGCAAGAGGAGGATGACGAAGTTTACGGCGGCGGTCGTGGTGCATGTGCGTCGGATTTTCAAAACCTGGATTTTGTTTTAGGTGGTGGGCACTTGCTGTGATTTCGTGGCTTCCTCGGTTCGTTTTGAGATTGAGGAGGTGCAAGAAGGAAGTGGGTCATGTTAGTGATTTTAATATTTTTTTTATTTTTTGAAGGGTTAATTGAGGAGGTGGAAGAAGGAAGTGGGTCCTGTTAGTGATTTTAATCTTGTTTTTTTTGTTTTTTGAAGGGTTAATTGTTGGTAATTTTCTTTTTTCTTACTGATTTTTTGTAAGATTCGGAAACATATATAACAATATATTTTTAGAAAATGAATATTTCACTTTTAATTTTTAGGGAAATTATAATAATATTTCACTTTTAATGAGATTTTCAAAAGCCAAGTGATTTACGCGTTGGTTGTGAAGGTTACGCGTCGCTTGTTAAGGTTACGTGTTGCTTGTTAAGGTTACGTGTTGGTTGTTAAGGTTACGGGTTGCTTGTTATGGTTACGGGTTGATTGTTAAGAAATTTTTGCATGGAACTGATGATGGCTACGATATTCTACAAACCTTATTCCGGGTTACGGGTAACCTTATTGCTAAGAGCCTAAGAGCCTTGTTGCCAAGGTTACGTGTTTGTTGTTTAGATTACGGGTTTGTTGTTAATGTTACGGGTTTGGTTGTCAAGGTTACGGGTTGATTGTCAAGGTTAATTTCACAATAAACATGTAACATTAACAACAAACGCGTAACCTTGACAACAAACCCGTAACCTTGACAACAAACGCGTAACCTTAACAACGAATATTCTAATTAGTTGTAAAATTAACCTTAACAACAAACCCGTAACCTTGACAACAAACGCATAACCTTAACAACCAACCATTATTCTTAACAACGAATATTCTAATTAGTTGTGAAATTAACCTTGACAACAAACCCGTAACATTGACAACAAACGCGTAACCTTAACAACCAACCCTTATCCTTAACAACAAATATTCTAATTAGTTGTGAAATTAACCTTGACAACAAACCCGTAACCTTGACAACAAACGCGTAACCTTAACAACCAACCCTTATCCTTAACAACGAATATTCTAATTAGTTGTGAAATTAACCTTGACAACAAGCCCGTAACATTGACAACAAATGCGTAACATTAACAACCAATCATTATCCTTAACAACGAATATTCTAATTAGTTGTGAAATTAACCTTGACAACAAACCCGTAACCTTGACAACAAACGCGTAACCTTAACAACAAAAGTGTAATCTTAACAACCAAAATATATATACATATAAATCCCAACGTGTAACCTTAACAACAAACACGTAACCTTAACAACAAATCCGTAACCTTAACAACCGACCACTAATCTTAACAACCGACGACAAACCTTAACAAAACACAATAGGAGACAAATAATCAAACTTCAGGCTTAACATAGATTCTATTTATGCCATAAAGGAAAACATATCTCAATACTAAAACCTCACACACGCATAAATTAATTCGCATCCATCAAAGAACACCAACAACAAACTACAACCCACAATCAAAGATACTCTTTTTTTATTCCCACATACAATAACACTATTATTTAGTAAAAACAACCTGAAGCAAAGAAACAAGACAAATGCTACCTAAGTGGTGAGGATGGGGGGCATGTAATCAGACTTGGTTCAAATAACACGAGCCTTTGTATCGGGGAAAAACTCCGTCCTTGGGAGCTCTGTAACAACTCCTTCACTGCTTACTCCAATGGGATAGCTAAGTAAATGTCCAGGGAGATCGCGTTCCTGAGAGTAGAGATCCCAGTATTTGTCAGCGATACGCTTCACTTTCTGTACAAACTCGACGCTCTCTAGATGGAGGAAGAAATCAGATCGTCAATGCCGGGGAGACGGACTGCTCGATGATGGCGACGTTGATGTCGGGGTTCTTGGAGAGCTCGTAGGCGCAGGAGAGGCCGACGGATTCGCCGCCACCGCCACCGCCGCCGCCGCCGACGGTGTTAGCGTAGGTGATTATGTCGGACATGTAGCGGCGGGTCATCTCGCGGGAGACGATGGATTCTTTGATGGGGCGGAAGCAGATGGAGGAGAGGTCGTAGGATGTGGAGATTTGGGGGCGGAGGATGACAATGATAGGGAGGAGAAAGATTGGGTTTTGAAGGCGGAGATGAGCTTGAGGCCATGGAAGGAGGAGAAAGAGAGGAGGTTGCGGTGGTTAGGTTTGGAGAGGAAGGAGGATGTGACAATGGAGGGTATTATGGTCTTCACGTATCTTAATTTCTTGGGTTTTGTGTTTTGGGGGCTCAGAGAACACAGAGTTTACTTTTGGGGGTAAAACACACGTTGAAAAAGTCTTGGGAGGGGGAAGCTTGTTTTCATTAGTTTTGGGGGCTGGAAGCATTTTTCCCTATTTGTTTTCACTGAAGATAAATAATTGGGTCATTTACATGTTGTAGCTTGGGTGTTCTTTGTGATTCTCTCATCCCCATTTGCAAGTATTACAAAAAAAAGTTGATCATAATGTTAATAATACCAAGGATTTTTTTTTGCTAAAATTTTGTCAGTGAGATTATACTGGAACTATACATGATGATTGATTAGTTTCGTGTATATATGTTTTAGGTTTTACTTATTTTGTTAAATTAGTGATGATGACTGCATCATCTCAGTTCTGGATATGGCTCAAAATGATAAATAGAGAAGGAGAGTGATTTAAAGAAAAACATGGTTTTTTAATATATAAATACAAAACAATGTTGTTACATCATCCTTACTTTTTTACTTTCAACAATAACTTGTTTTTGTAAACAAACAATGTATGTCACTTGTTCGCTGACTTGGATGCATTTTCGCACTTCCAAAAAAAGTCACTTTCATAATTTCAACTTTAGGGCACATTTGAATAATGAAAGTATTAGAAGTAAGAAGGACGTTATAGAAGTAACTTTCAAAGCTATGAAGTAGGAAGTAGTGGAAATAACATTTTTTTTGTTTGTTTCAAAAGCTATGAAGTAGGAAGTAGTGGAAATAACATTTTTTTTGTTTGTTTCATATATTTTTAGAAGTAATGAAAGTAGAACTTCTTCCTCTTCATTTACTTATATTTTTAGAAGTAATGAAAGTAGAACTTCTTCCTCTTCATTTACTTTTTTTTGTTTGGATAACATTTGAAAATATTATTAGAAGTAATTTTATCAATGAAAAGTTGTTAGAAGTAACTAATAAAGGAAATATTAATAAAAAAATTTATTTATGTCATAATTAATATGCATTTCAACTACTTCCGAGCTACTTCTGAGTATTGAGGATTGGAAAAATATTTTGAAAGTAAGGATAACACGTAGACGCCACATAAGCATTTAGGAAAGTATTGGAAGTAAGTTTTTCAGAGAACCAAACATACTTTTTTGCTTGGAAGTAGCAGAAGTAACATCTACTTCTTTTACTTCAGCTACTTCACAATTACTTCGGTGTAAACAAACAGGCTAGTTGCAAGTAGATAAACACCCCTAAATCTAGTTTCTTTTGTTAATTTTAGCAATTAGAAATCCGTATATTCTATCTTTATTTATTTCCTTGTAATGAGACAATGATGAAAAAAATCTTTGAACCATATCTTTTAGGTAGGCCTGTCCATCCGGGCCGGCCCGGGCAGGGCAAAACCGGGGCCCGAACCCGGGCCCGGGTACCCCGGGCCGGGTTCCGGGCTGGCCCGGATTTTTTTCAATTTTTTTTATTTT